CTATTTCAGCTAAAAACCAGGACAGAGGGCTGCTGCTGCAGGGAGAGAACAGAGCAGGGAACGAGCAGAGCGCTGCAGAACTGCCAGGCTGGCAGTGTCTGAGGGGGACTGTTTTGGCTTCCTGGCTCAGAGCCATGTAACAGCACAGAAACACAGGCCAGAAACTCACACAGCATCCTCATCTCCCCAGGCTGGAGGCCGATGGGGTATTTCTCTGGAGCACGTACCACCCGTGCCCAGTGATGAGCACAGGGCTCCACTGCACCCCAGCAGCTCCACAGCTCCCACCCTGCATGGGCGAGTGGTTTCTGAGGGGGAGCACTGGGGTACCCTGCTCTGAGAAGCAGAGAGCAGGCAGGCAGCAGCTAGTGCAGGTACAGCAAGAACCACCAGCACAGGAGAAACCCCACCAGCACACACTCAAGGACAGCAGCCACCCGGCCTGAGGCAACAGCTGGTGCAGGACCAGTGAACGTTTCTGTGAGGGCTTACAGTTTGTGTAAGCTGTGAAAGATCATTCGAAAGCATCTACACACCCAACAAGCTCCCTCCAGAAGGAGGTGGGACCCCAGGAGGTGGGTTTCTGCAGAATAGTTAAATAACACACAACAATGAAACTTTTCCGTTATTTTATTGATATTAGTGAAGAAAAATTTAAATTTCATCTGCCTGATGTGTTACAGTTGCTTTCTCCTGTGGGTGGACAGCTCCTACTGCTTATTTAAAGGCTAAATAATATTTCCCAATTGCATTATTAACTTCTACACTTTAAGTTCTCTTATGGTATTGCTTTCTTCCTCTGGGTATGTAAGATGGTCCATTAAGTCCATGATTTTTTTCCAGAATCAACTGTTATTCTATCTACTGTTTTAAGATACATTCAAATAAAAAGATACTTAAATTTACTTGCAATAAGTGCACACATACAACAGCAAAGAGAGGTGATGACATTTTACTAAAACATTGTAAGTTCATAGAATAAATAGAAGTCTTCAAACACATGCAGTAACCGACCCATGTGTTTTTTTCTTTCTCAAAAAATATCCTTAGTGTCCATAGCACTACCGCAATAACTACTTCATTCAGGAAAAAACCCAACCACCCACCCACCTATCTCTCATCACAAACACTAAAAGACAGTTTCATTTATACAAGAAATGATCAGTGCTAATGATTCAGTAACAGTCTGGTACAAACAGCAATTCACGGCAACGATGTGTAGTGTGATAACGGTAACAAACAGGGAGCTTGATGTAGATGCTGCAGGAAGTGGAAGGAAAAGAAAGCGAATGTTAAACCCTCCCCCCTTCGCTCCTCTCCATCCCTGCTCCCAAAAACCCATGGGGCTCAGCTCAGCTCAGCTCTAGAAGCAAGCTCCCTCCAGTCTGTTCCAGTTCCAGGATATTTCAGTTCTTTCTACCAGCTCTCAGCAGAAGTCTGGGAGAAACAGAGAAGAAAATTGCGATATAAATGAGGATCGCCTGGCTGTAACTAAAGGTTGTGTCAGGTCTTTTCTTTCTTTTCTGAAAAAGCAGGCCTAGATGTTTGGTATTAGGAGATTTTTTTCAAATTAAACACAGCGTGGAATAAAGTGTTTCCCATCTTTTTACCTCTGCTAAGGTCCAACTTTGGACGAGAAAAGTTTATCTGAAAATAGAAAACAGAAAATGGGTGGGGAATATTCTCATCCTGCTTACAAGGCCATGGTCCTCAACGTGCATGAATGCATGAAACCTGCATGAGGATTGCAAGTTGGTCTTTCCAGCCTGTACCATTCCATTACTTTTGTGTGGTTCTCTGCTGGGGTTTCAAGGATGCACCTGTTCCCAACACTGCTTTTGCTACATGCTCTTCTGTAACATTCTTATCTGTCAATCTGTTCTGCAACTTCGACTTCTAGGAAGTCACTGCCACGTTTATTTAACTCATGAGTTGTGAAAACAGTTTTCTTTGACAAAGTGTGTTTCAGTGGCAGCAACACACAGTAAAGCATTTTCCCTTCCACAATCCAATGCAGCATTGAAAAAACAAAACAAACAACCAAACAAAAAGAAGTTGCACAGAGTGTAAGCGTGCTAAATGAAACGGCTGCAGTGGGAATATGTCAATATTGCAGGTACCCAACAAGGTATTAGTTCAAGTTTACTGTCTCCAAGAGGAGAATACAGAACAGAAAAAAATAATAATAATAAAAAAAAAATCATCCATTCAGGCACAACAGCCAGGCACTCCAATAACTCAGCTCAACTCAGCTACAGAAGCAAAATTAAAACTACCACATGTTAAACCGAGTACTTTTTTCAGCTCTTAACGAAGCACAAATGCTCCCATGCTTCAAGTGATGTAATGAGAGGTCTCACGTAACACATTCAATAGCTTCCCATGCACCTTTGACTCAAGTTAGGCTAGCTACAGAACTCATGTTTTTCTAGTCAAGTTATTTTTTGTTGGTTTTACTCTTGTTTTTTTTTTTTTTCAGTGCATCTTAAAAAAAACCTTTTCAAAAGGTTAGCAAGTTAACCTTAATACAGCAATCATAACGTAGAGCCTTTTGCACTCAATTGAACAGTAAAATAATCCAATTAGTTACAATAGATCTGGTACATATTTACATGGTTTATACAAATTTTACACATTTCTCCCATTAGGCACGAAGTTGATTTGTCAAACTCAAGAGGCAATGAAGGGGTGGTGGGGACAGGATAAGAGTATTGGAGAAAGAATCTGAGTATTTTTATTTAAAAAGACCAGCTGTAAAAATAAAAGTCCTTCATCGTAAGCTAGTTTGCTTCGGGAGCTTGGTTCCCATGAGGATCCCCGAAGTGAGAGATGTTGGGCCTTTCATCTGCATGCTGGAACCCACCATGGTGGGGAAGCTCCGATTCCTTCGGATGCCAGTGTTCAGCTGGATGCCCCCAATGGCACTGGTCACGGTAGGGCAGCCCAATGGGAGGCCGTCTGGTGCCAGGCCTCCAGGAACAAGGGCCCTCACCGGTCCTTGTGCCCCACAGAGAAGAGGTCCCTGGTCATCAGTTAAAGCAGGAGCTGGCGTTTGCCCTGAACTCACAACTTTGGCGATACCAAATCTCTTGACTTTGTCCACGAGATTAAGGTTGGAAACAGACACGTCAGTCTGACTCTCACTGTTCCTGATGTTCTTTTTATTCCTCACCTCCTTCAAGATTGAACTAGCAGGCTTCGAAGCCAAGAAGTTGTCATAAGGTGGACTGGTGCACTTGAACTCAAAAGATGGAGGGGAAGAAGAAGGTGTCTGCATAGGTGAGTTTGGTGGAGTGGAAGGAATGATGGCCATTTTAGGGGGGTAGGTGTTCAGGAGGGTGCCTTTGCTGGCTCTATCCCAGCTCTGTGGATTGTACACTGCTGCCGAGATGCCCCTTTCCTTCAGCAGCCACACCAGTCCCAGAGACGTGCTCATCGTCGTCGTGGATTCCCGGAGGTTAGTGAAGGATTCGGCCAAGCTCAGACGCCGAGGAGTACAGGGAGTAGCCACTGGGGTGCCTTTCAAATTGCTAATGCTGCCACAAGCTGGAGTAGGTGCTGCGTTAAGGCTGAAAGCAAAGGAGCATGAAAATTATTCTCTCCACTAGGGAATTAAAACTTATTCCAAGCAAGATTTTGAACTCTGACCAGGGCCTTCTATCCATTTTGAGAGTGAACAGGAAACTGACACTTCCCAGCTCCTCGCAAATGTGATGACAAGTACAAAAATGTCATCTCCTAAAAACCGCATCTCTCCACTTCGCATCCTTCACCACCCAGTCTCACAGGATTAACGCATTTCCCACCACCAACACCCCATTTCTTCTGATAAACTATTAAATTGACAGGTTTGGGACCAACACCTTCTTTTTCTTCCTGATCTACTGGCTGTCACAACTCCCAGTTGCTTCCATGAGACAAGGAAAGGTGGGGACCTGACTGAGGGTATAAGCAAGCCAGATTTACTATTTAGCACCACCTCTGAGCACACAGACCTGCTAGTCCTTCTGGTATCACTGGGCCATAGCAGAGACAGTGGAAGGGAGGAGGGGAACTTATTTGCTACAGGAGCATTTGTAGCAAAGCTGCTGGAAGGTTGGCTTTGTCACCACCATGCACTTCTGTAAGGTCAAACCCTTCTTCCCTTCTTACACTGAATTTGCTTTTATTTAAGGGAAAAGGGGATGTGGGATCTGACTTTTGATGGAGATGCACAATGGTGTGAATAATAATCAAAAGTGATGGCAAAAATATAGTCAAACTCTTGGTTGTCAATCAGCCAACGGGTAACTGATAACTCAGCAGCAAACCAAGCATGACAAAGAGCCATTCTACTGTTAATTTTGTAAAACATTAATTTCTATAGTTTGAAACATGGATAAATTTCTCCCCAATTCCGGTTCTTCTCAAAATAAACTATGCACAGGCAGTGGACAAGAAAATATGAAATGGCAATAACCTGCACATTCAGAACAAGCGAAAGACATCTCATACTTTAGTGCTATCTTACAGCATTTTGCTTTCTTAAGCACATTACTGCTGGTTATTAGGGCTTGGGATTTCTTGAGGCATATCAAACAGCATCCATTCTGGCAGACCATCCTCCCCATAAAGTGACCATCTGAATAAACACAGACTCAATGCAGCATCTATTGCCAAAAAATAACCAACACAAAGGAGACATTCCAAATCCTTTGTGCCACAGTACGAGGTCTCATGGACACTGAGGGTGGAGTGTTTCTGGCACTACGATGCCAGCTTTAAAAAACTTTTTCCTTAGGGATCAGGTTAGTCACAGCATATTTACTTATGAATAATCCCCACTCAAAACTTATGGCAGTCCAAGGTACATCACTCATTGAATAAGTCGTGGTGTACTCAGTTATTCCAGAAGCTAGGCACATGGGACATTCATGACACTCCAAATTCATGTCTATTTGGGAGAACCCCAAAGGTTCCATGTGCCTTAAAAAAAAAAAAAAAAAAAAAGCAGCTTTCCAGCTATTTCTAACTATGGCCAAATTACGGTTTTTGCCACATACACAAAAAAGTAAATTCCACAGTAATATTTCCTAGGGAAGGAATCATCCCCACTAATGGCATTTAAAGGGTCTTGGAACAATACAACACTTGATGCTAACAGAAAATTCACTGACCTGAGATCTCACCGCTGTTCAAAGAAGGAAATCTTCCCCTTCATCTTGCCAGGTTAGCAAGGAGAAGACTCTCAGCAGAGAGTCAGAGAAAAACCAAAGCCAATGCAAAACAGCGGGTAAACAAAGCAGCTGGGAGGGGAAGGAACAGGGGAAATAGCGGGATCTTCCCCATTGCAACAGCTCAGCCATAAAACACAACTTCAACTTATGTTGGGTTCTCTGTACCAAGAAATGCATCAAATAGCCACACTGAGACAATCTGGTTGGATTTCCAGGTGTAGAGACACCTCAGGCCAATGAATGAATCACATCCTTTCTGCCTGTATGGACAAAAGGGCCTAGATGATGTCGTGACTAGAATCTGCAGTCTCATTTCACCTTACATTAATGAACTCTGGGAAGCCAGCACTAATGGGAATGGGAATTTCTACCATGTTAGAAAAACTGGAATGTTTTGTTCTGAGCCACAGTTTCTGACGAGCTTAGAACTTCATCTAATGGTATACTGTGATCAGCTGACTTAGTTAATATAACACTTCAAAAAACCCTAGTCCAGTCATCTTCTAGAAGTCAGCAGTACTTTAACACCTTTAAGATTCTACTTAATTAAGGGCACATTAGCTGATGTAATTTGAAATCTAAAGTCATGTCTTCTCTCCATGATTAAATAGGAACTGATCCTATGATCTCTACAGTGATTTGGAACTGAACCAACTCCTACCATAAGCAAGTGAAACTGCCAAAGGATTTTTACCCTACAGTTGCGATTCAGCAAGAGGAATCCCATATATTCCTGCTTGTAAACTGGAGAGAAACATGTTTGAGAAAACAAGTATTAAGAGTGGCATAATTTGAAAAGCAGCCTTGCTAAGCGGCTCTGGAATTGATGGTCTTCCACCCCTGCGAGCTGTGGCTGCCAGCACATGTGGCAGAGGTGCTAAGCTAAGCTCTCCTTATGTCCTCTTCATTCTGCCTGGACCAAATCAGCATCGGGGGAGGAGGATCCCTCACAGCAGAGCTAAGGAGGCCACACGTCCACGGCAGCAGCACACACACACATTTTGAAGGCAAGGGTGAGTGGAAAGGAAAAGTTAGTTCACAATTCTTCTCTTCAGCACTGATTAAAACCGGACCTTTCTAGCTCTGATTCCAGTTCATGGTGGAACTAAAGAGCAGTGACAGCCACTGTGATGCATCTCCCACACTGGCTAAACACAGAAGTACAGAGGTAGTCTCGAAAAGCATGAGGGAGGGAAAAGGAAGAGAACTTACTGTGTGAACTGACTTTCTAACAGGGTACGACCAAGTACATTTTGAAAACCCAGACACAGGGTTTTAATTATCAGGCTTCTAAGATGTCACGAGATGAAAACTACAGCACTCCAATGGCTTATTAACTCCGACTGCTTCGTTCATTCCAGCTCCAGATTCCAGTTGCACAGATATTTAGATTAGTATTTCTACTAATTTATCAGCACAGGTACACACTACAGTGGAATAATAATGATAATAAAAAGACATCCCTGCAAGAAAGCAGTTGTTATGTAGGCATCACTTTTTTGTTTGATCATTTTGGTATTGCTTTAACTGGGAACCATTTTCCCCATCAAACTGACCACCACTGCAGAGCAGCCTGGACACAACCACAGAAACAGACTCAAACTGGCCTCAGCAACTCAGCCCAATGACAGTTCCAGGGTTAGACTGAGAAAAGAAATAAATAAATGAGCACCTCATTTAGCGAGATGAAATTTAGTCAGGTTAGAGCGTCACCTGGGTTAGAAGCTGGGTTAGAATGCAACCAGGTAGGTAAATACCAAAACTCTTTGGGTTAGCTGGTGCCACACACACTAGCATTCCTTGTACATGACCCTGCCAACACAGAGGCTGCTGGCAGTGCTGCTCACCCCCTGCCACGCTGGGTTAGAGCGTCTGCCCTATCCCTCCTCTCAGCATAACGAGACATAGGGCAGTTTCCTCGTCCTCCTCACATGACCTGTGAAGAATCGTTTATAGTTGGTAAGGAGGAGCTCCTTAAACATGTCTGCTGAAAATATCATATTGTTTATTTTGCTCTTTTTCCTCCTGAGTGAATAATGAACTTTTGAACAGCACCCGAAAATGTACTGAATTTAGCTGTCAGTTATGGCTGACTTGTTACATTTAGTAACCAACGTAATCAAGGAGTTTCCTCTGACCACATTTAACAGCAATTCAACAATAATAAGAAAATTAAAATAGAACTGCAGCCATATAAAAGGATCTCTTTAGTAACAGTGTTCAGGAGAGAGGAAGACAGAAAACAGTAAAGAAAAACCAGCCAGGCCATGATTAACTAACTTAGTCCAGAAAGGGAAGCAGAAAGTTACATTTAATCATCCTCCATTTCCTTTCCACCTCGTGGGTTTTCATATTCCATACCCTGACTTTCCACACGTTCCTTAGGTAATCAGTGCCCAACTCATGTCTAAACAAGTCTGGACACATCATCTCTGAGTGGGGACCTACACAGTGCTACACTCCCACACAGGAGCTGGAAGGGGCAGAGAAAGCAATGAGGCATTGTCCGTCTGAACAGAAAAAAACATTCTTTAAATACTGATTTGCTAAGGAGGGAAAGTTCCCTCTGTAGGCATGAAATGGACTCACCCTCTCTGGTTCTCAGATCTTCACCTTCTCTAGAAGGCTCTAGAATTGCCTTTTATCAGCATGCGTTGCCCAGACATGCTTATTGCTATTACTAAGCCAGCCCATAAGTTTCAGTCTGGCTACTATGAACTAATTTTCAACAACTACAACAAGGAACAAAGTAGATGGCTCCCTGATTTTGATTAAGGCATATTTCCTCCTCCATTCCTCACATACTTCCTGTGCATCCCTTTTTCTTCTGCACCAAAGATTTAGATTTTTCCTCCCTGGAAAAAGTCTCTCTCATATCTTTTTGTGCATTCTGTGCATTCACACATGAGGACTACAAGCAGTTTGGGATCAAGGGTAGACAGGTTTGGATATAGGAAGCCAACTTAGTTACATCTTATCCTGCAACATTTTAACTAGAGACAACAAAATTTAAGATATTTTGGTTGGCTTTCTAAAACATTACACATCTCAAACAAAACCAGGTTGAGGTATCTCAAAATGGGAGGAATAACTTGGGGATGTATTGTAATTCACCAATGTGGCTAATGCTTTTACTTATGTCATTACTTTGCATTTCCTTACAGGGAAAACTCTGACAGAGCTGAAGGCTTTGCCATCACGGGAAACCCTTACCTTGGTGTGACTCGTGTGAGTTCATCGGAAGGGTGCAGAATGCGGCAGGTGGTGAAGGTGAAGGTGGAGTTGGTTTGTGACATGCACTTCCCAGGATGAGGTACTAAATTAAAAAAAAGCAAATTCTTTGCATTTTACACAGAAAAGGGGAAAAAAAAAAAAAATCAAACTTCTGTGTGCTGGTAAGACAGATGCAAAAAGTGATGAGGCACCTCAGAGGGATCAATGCAAGGAAAGTGAAATGCACTACAGTGTTCTAACAGACACTCGTTCTCCACAACAAACACATTCAGGGCTCCAAGGCCAGTGCTAAAAGGGTCTGCTGAAACTTCCCCATGGTCACTAATACCACAGGTAAGTCTTGCTCTAACCAAATTTAAGCAAGGTAGTGCTTGAAATGCTAGCCTTCATCTAAACTAGCAACTTGCATCAGTGGGAAATTACAAGCAGCATTTTCTAGTACCAGCTCAGGAGCACTAAAGTTTTGTGAATGCTTGTGCATTTCAGTTTTTAGGTTGATCCACAAAAAGGTATCCCCATTACTTCTCAGTAATGGATCCAGCTTGCTAATGCTACAGGAACACAGGTTGTTGGGGCGGGGAGGGGATGGACACGTATTACTGTTTCACTGTCTCTGACTTTTCACTTTCCCAGTAAGGAAAGTGGTAGTTGTTTGGATCCACTACTGTACATCTGTGATATTTCTCTTGTGCATGTGTTCAGGTTCTTTAAGAACGTAGGTCCTCAGCTGCACAATAGAGCAGTTTTTTTAATATCTGTAAACAGTGTAGTAAATTTTCCCCCCAAATGTGGCTGTAAAGATGCCATGCTGTCAATCTATCAGTAATTTGGGAAAGAAGCAATCCAGCTCAATTTAAAAAATGAAGGACTTGGGCCAATTTCTTTCTTTGCTGTACAGCCACTTCTGTGGCTATACTAACCTGCTGTATAATGCAGCTGTGGCCATTGCAAAATAACTACAAAATTTAAGAGCCATGCATCTGAAAAGCTGGTTGAAAAACATCCACAGTTAAATATTACATCAAAGATATCATGATTGCATAGGTCCTCTTACTTAATAACCAAAATTAGCGGTGGTTGAAAGACATGCACAATAAAAACCATGTGCAGCTCCCTCCCCCTCAGTCCTACCCACCCCTCTGAGCCATTCCCTGATTAAGCCACATTTTAATACCACAGTACACAACTATTCACCACATTGCAGAGGACAGACAGACAGATCAACTAGACCAGACACCATTCTGAACTTCCAGAGATGCTTAGCAGAAGCAAGGCAAGTCTTAATTGTGGCTGTGTTCCCTTTTTCATACATAAAGTATCACAGCTCCAAAATAGTGTGTGCAGTTCGGTAGTCCTTTAAGAACACATATAAGCAGTGTGTGAAGGGTAGAGCATGGGGAGTGTGAACAGTGGAAGCAGAAGTGGCTAAGCAAACAACGTGAGGTAACTTCTAGTTAGCGCTGGAATGTACTGCTGTACCTTAAAGAAGGATGTTTCTAAAAACCCACTGGAGTGTCATGTTAACACACTCAAATGTTAGCACAGCATAACGTAACAACAAGCTCTACTTCACCTCCAGAGATGGTAATTATGATGCTTCAGGAATCCAGTTGCTTTAGAGATTAGTGTGAGCGCTATAAAAGTTATTACAAGGGAGCACAGCCTAGCAATCATGATTCTCTCCATATTGTAGAGAGTTAAAAGAAAATCTGGAGAAAGAGCTCAAATAACTGGACACGAAAAAATTGGTTATTTAGAGAGGACAAAGAACTCCAACACAAATCAAGTAAAAACAAAGCAATTATCCCTGGATGATGAATAGAGAACAGAATAGAGCAATGCCGGTTGAAGATTGCAAGCTCAATCCAAAGCACATAGCTGTAATACAATAAATGCATTTTCCCCATTTGTAAGATCCATTGGGCATCCCCTCAGATTGGAAACAGGCACATTGAAGATACATAGCTGCATTAGCAAAAGCAAGACTCATTGCTATTAATGAGTCAGAGATAGGAGAAGGCTGCTAAAAGTAGAGAAATCATTGACTCTAATAAGAGGAAATAAATTGAAATTATTAAAAAAAGAAAAATCAATTTCCAAGGATGTATTCTACCCTCAAATACCACTAAGAAAGTCCTGTACCAGCTTCATCCTCCATCAGTCAACAATGGGGTGTATCATAGTGCTGAAGCATTTTCCATCCTTTGGACACAATACAAAGAGTCAGAACCTGTTGCTGTAAATGAACAAAGTTTATAAAATGGAAACAAAATTATTCATTCCTAACCTAGTAATTTTACATAAGAATGGTCGTTTCCTGAGTTGGTATAAGTTTGTGAGAAAGTAATATATAAGTTTATAGTAAGAGAGACTATCTTCACATGTACACACAGCAAAGTGTTCTTTTAAATATAAACATCTGCTCCATGTGACTGTGTCTGAAACCAAATGTTTTATTTATATGCTCTTTTCGAACTAGAAGATGATTAGCAACGAGGCTTCATATCTGTATGAAAAAGAAACTGTGCATAATTCAGTGTTTAACAAAACTTACAGAAACATCATGAAATTTCATCCATCAGGAAACCATAAACTAAACTTTACGAGCATTTTTCCCCTAAATTAAAATTCAAGCTAAACCTTAGATTGCTGCTGGATTGTGTTTTGTTTCTCAGCAGTTAGAACTCTTTACTTTATAAAGCTTTCTCGAACAATTCGTAGGCATTTTGGAAAAAATGCAAAACATTATCACTGAAAGAGACTCTGCTGTAAGCCCAAACACTGTTGTAAAAATACCTTTTAAAATACTGAAGGGGAAACAACAAAGGCACATAGTAGCCAAACTGAGCAGCGAGCTCCATCTTCTGGTAAAACAGAGCTGAAACATGGGTGAAACAAAGCTGATTTTATATATCTCAGAGTTGTTTCAGATCCAGCTCAGTGTTTATGGACCAATCTACCAGGTATGCCAGCAGAAGACGTGCATTTGGGAAACAATCTTCTGCTCAGGGTACCCTCAAAAGACCTTTTAATCTGGATTTTCAACCAGCTAGTGCAGAGAGAGGTACAAAGCTACAGCAGGTAAACTGGTGGCCTGTTCCATCCACAAAAAGGCACCAGGACAAAAAGAATTTGAGGAAGATTTGTAAGAGGCAGCTATACTAAAACACCATTAACTTTTGCACCGCTGGTTCCAAATTCCAATTTGCTGTTATGAGATCTGAGTAGTGAGGAGGCAGAGAGCTCGCAGCAGCCAGTAAATCCTTGTGTTTTGTATAAACACATGTTCTGGCAAATACAGATTTATGCAAAAATGAACTTTAAAAAAAAAAAAATCATAAATCTTCAACATATGATTTGATCCAGACTGGCACAAAGATAAAGTTTTAGTCCAACTCTGAAGTCACCCACTCTGCTCATCATTTCTTTGACATGTTTTAACAACGGGAGGAAACCTGGTTCCCTGCTCTTTCAGCAGAGCACGCAGTGGCATTTGGACATCTCTTTAGCACAGGCTGGTGAGACAGGGATGAAATGACAATCAGGTTAGGGAGTTCTTAGAGCAACATATGGTGTTTTAAAATATTAGTATTTTATTTTATTGCTGAACAGAAAAAAAGGTCTGCCTGCTTTGGAAAAGGATAATGAAGGACAATTAAGAGGCACTTTTTCCCTCCAGTGTGATCATTTGGGATACAAGCTACGGACTTCACTTTTGCCAGTCTATGCCACCAACTCCCTTCTTGGGCAAGGTGAAATTCCTGAAAACTAGGTGACAAAACCCCATGAGGATCCACAGGACAAGACAGCTGCTTCATGTACTCTCCAAATTCAGCAGAGTTCATCCCTCCAGGTGACTGAAGGCGAGAGCTCTGATATCCGGTGCTACCTGTACTGAAAACTCCTGGCTGACAGAGAACAGGGAGAATACAGGGTATGCTGGACCTGATGCCTGGGTTAACTACTAAACCAAAAAGGAGATGGGTGATAAACACAGCTGGAAAATGCGAGCATGGTGCTCTTCTAAAGGTATTTATGTGCCTTCAGATGTTCTTCATAAAACACTGCTGGAATGTCCTTCGAAAAACATTGGCTTCAGGGGTAACTGTGAATGAATAGATGAATGAAACCTTCAAGAATCCATATAACTCTGCCAGGAGCATTACTCCTGTTATGTATCTTAAACAATCAACAATAAAATTATTGTTCTTATTATATAGATTGAATAATGTATATTAAGAAGAATATATTCTTAGTATCTCCAAACTTTTGCCTTTGGAAACAGCAAGAGATTAAAAACTGAACAGCGGCAGGTATTCTTTGGACAGGACTTTCTTAGCTTTCTTCTGGCTGAGTTCTCCCCTTCTCGTATGTACATAACCATGGAGCACATATAAAAAGATTTCCAAGTATTTAATGTGGCTTCAACACAAGTTTATGCAGGCTAGGATCCCCACATCAAAATTCTAGCATTTTAACAGCACAGACAGCAACTGCTGACAGACTTTTCTTAAAGAAATAATTACTGTGAAATATTCATAGCATTTGAAAAGAAGATATATTTAAATATGCATCAATACCTTAGTTCTAAGAAGAGTTACAAAATTTATTGCTTTTCTGTACAATAGTAATCTCTTAGAAGCATGTATGGTAATCCTGCTACAAACAACTCGAACGTAAGACATTCATTATGTGTTTTGATTATTTTAGGCATCTATTTTGAAAGATCTCCATATCCTGGTTAAGGTCTAAACATGAAGTACAACAGGGCTGATCCCATAACTCTGCATGTGTCTATTCAAAGCCATCAATCAGTGGAACTGACAAACACAAGTACTGAAAGATGAGTTCATGCACCCAACACTAGCATGTAATTAAGCACACGCTGAATCAAGTGCAGCCCTTCTGGCTTCAAAATGAGAATATTCACAATGTTATTAAGTGCTTTGAATGGCTTAGGGTTTTTTTTAAGAGAAACCTGAAAGGCGATGAATTAAAAAATAAAACAAAACACAAAAATCCCCCCAAAACCCCAATAACCCCTCCCTCCAAAAAAGACTGTACAGTTCTATAATGTACTACAGTTTCTTTTAAAGGATAAAAAAAAATATATTGAGGTTACAAAAAACTTGTGCTGTAAAAATTACTTATCCTAGACAGTATTAACATCACTGTGCCCTCTAACTTCTTTACCATATCCAATTATCTACTCAAGTGATACAGAAATTGCAACCTATTCCCGGGAATTAGGCTAGAACTGCAATTCTGGAATTTACAGTCTTCCATAAAGTTACTGAACCCACACCCAGTGTGTCGCTCCAGGAGACCAACTGCAGGTCATAAATTATGTGCGTGTTAATTTCTTCTGAAATGTTCAGTGCCATAACTGGGGTAGAATCTGCATATATGGTGAGGAAGTTATTTTAGATACCAATGGGTACTACAGGTTTCAACATAGGGCCAGGAAAAATTCAAGGATCATAACTTTTCTTATCTAGTCAGAATGATTCTGACTATCCATCACTCAACAAGAAACAACTGATACTCTGTTTCACATTTATTTTGGCTGCAAGACTGCTGAGCCTAGATGTTAAAATGACTTCTCTTAGGGCTCATCTCTACACACCCACAAAACGGCAGTAAAAACAGGACCTCATAGTACTGCCAGAGCATATCTCCAGTGAAAAAGTAGTAAGACACAACCCTCAAAGCATACACCTCAAATGAAGCAGAAACCTACCCAAAAGACTAAGGTGACTTACACTTGCTGGGAACGGTCCTTGTAGGCACTGTATTTCCAAAGACATTTTGTTCTCAGGTTAGAAGACCTGTAGCTCTAGACTGGCACACTCTGTGGTCTGCCAGCAGCAATTGTACGGAGATATGGAGATACCTTCTGGCTTTTATGAATCTCTCCAGCTAGATTTTTTTCCACAATGGTGCTATCCTGGATTAAAAGCAAAACCACTATCACTAAAGATTTCTCTTCTTCCCTCTTCATTTTACTTCCACATTCTCTAGCAAGAGCTTATTCTGTAAGCTGTATTCTGCTGCTGCTTGGAATCTCCCCTGGAATCATGCAAGTAATGAGGTCATAATCTTGTGCTTGTGACAGATCTAGGAGAGGCAGAAAGAACGCTGAGGAACCTTTTTCAAGTGGAGCAATGGCTGCACAATATTTAAATACAAAATAAATTCATAAGCTAAGCACACACCTCTGCTCCCAAAAGGTATTTTATATATATAATATCAGTGTGTATATATATATATATTATATATATATATATCAGTGGGCAGATTGTGGATCCTTAGAAGCACTGTCACATTAGTAAGTGCCTACTCTGAAAACATCCAAAAGTATCTCTTCTCCTTGCATAACACCTGGAAATTGCTTCAACAAAAAGCAGATGCAGCGGTATCTTTACTTCATTTGAGCAACTCAACCAATAATGATGTGGTGGCTCATGGATACTCCTAAATTCTAAGCAGCTGGGCAATCTGGAGGAAGGATAAAGAATGGGATATTGAAGTTTGCAGTGCATTTGTTTAATCTACACAAAGTTATTCATATTGATCAATTCCTCTATTTCTGTAAGGTATCAAAATTACCCAGGAAACAATAGACAATGAAATAAGATTACCAGGATAATTTTATAGATTTTATCTACTTGCCAATTTATAAGGTAGGAAGGACACTTTAAAACTTTGTCTGAGATAATGAGGGTTCTCCCAGGCAAAATCAGCAGTAACTAGGGAATAACCTGTTAACAACAGTGACCTGTATTCAAATTGTCATGGAGAAAGGAAATGGAGGGAAACACTAATCTTTCCTGCAGTTTGTAATCACAGTGCAGGTCTACATATATTTTTCTACTCCAAAGAAAGAACTCTTCCAAATCATTACCCACAGATGATTTACTAATCCTTTCTTAAAAAACCCAAAGAACCAAACTGTATCTTTGACTACGTATCATCCACAACAATAAGGTTTCCAAATTTTCGACGTGTTCCTGTGTGAATATTCTTACAATTAAAAAATTCTTCACCCAAATAGCACTTTTTTTTTTTTTGTACAATTATTGTATCCAGAGTACATGAAGAACTGCTTGTTTCCTTCCTCTCTGCAGCAACCCATTTTAAAATGAATCATATCTTTTCTTGAATCTTGGATTCTGTAGACCCTAAAAAATGCCTGTTATTTGATTATTTCACTCTATGTTTCCTAGATCTCCAGCTTTTCTTGCTGTTATTTAGATTCTTCAAAATGACCAACACCTGGATAATATCCAAAACTGTACACAACTCCTATGGAGGAATTACTTATTTCCATATTAATATAAAAACTTAATATAATAATTATTAATGAGCAAGAGGTCTCATAGGATAAAGATCATTTTTGCCAATGGAAAAGGAATTTGAAGGGTTTGAATCTTCAAGCATTGGAAGAGGCCGTCCAGGGAAGTGGTGGAGTCAGCATCCCTGGAGATATTGAAAAGATATGTAGATGCAATGCTCAGACTTTAGTGGTGGACTTAGCAGTGTTAGGTTAATGGCTGGACTCGATCTTAAGGGTCTTTTCCAGCCTAAATGATTCTCTGATTCTAAGTTTAATCTTAATACAACTGACTGTGAAAAGTAGCTTATAGTCAGTAGCTGAAAGCACTGAAATGCCATTTCAGTGAGAGCTGAGGATACTCTGCATTTCATGAAAATAACAGAAATAATATTGTCTAGCCCTGAGACAATCTAATCTTCCAAAGATTAGTTAAATAATAAATTATGATTTATTCCAGAAAAAGGAGGGGGAAGGAAGTGTCCTCATTGAAAGTAGCTACGCAAAAACAAGAAGTCTGAAGAAAAACGAGTTCTGATAGTTTTCCGATTCTGGACTAAATATAATTCTTTACCAGTAGCAAATCTTAATGAAGACTAACACTCCTATACAGCTTATCAAAACTAAATGAAACACACACACCTCCATCGCCCAAAACAACAACAAAAAACCCCCACACAAACTCAAAACACATCTATAGTCTGAGAACCTGTAGCCTCGTGCAATAACACATTGCAAATGTCAGTTCAGAGTATCTAATAACTCATGCAGTACTACACCATTTAAAGATTTAAGTCTTAGTAAGGTATAAATAGGAAAGACAGAATTTAGTAGCGTGGTGGAGAGGGAATGAGGGAAATGTCATTACTCTCTGTATAAAAACATCCTCTTAAATCTTTATCTCAAAGAGAATTTAAAAACAGGTAACTATGAGGTAACTGAATTAAACCTGCAGAATTTCTTTGCTGGATTTTCAAGGCACTTCCATTTGTTTCAGCAAAGGCAACTTAGATGCACCTTTTGTCATAATTTAGTCTTTCTTTTTCCCCAAAGTACAAAATCTAAAGCATGGCATCACCTCTTACGAACAGTCAGAAAAATATCTGCGCTATAAGCATACAAAATATGGATGGTCTATACATTATATACACTGAAGAGCATGCACTCAATACACATACAAGTTGCATATGTGCCACACAAAGGTTTGTGAATGAACCACTTCCTTTTAGCAGCCTTCTCTTATCAAAATAGAGTAAAATATTGACCACAGATGCTGTTACCGGGGGAAAAAAGAAAAAAAAAAAAAAAAGAAGGTAAATTAAAAGATTATTGAAGGAAGGATTTTTGAGCCAATGTTAGAATGGTTATGTTCTAATTACTGCACACATTAACGTGCAGGTGCTACACACAAAGCAATACTATGGATGCTGTTCTGGAGAGATGCGAGAATGGCCCAGTAATCAAAATCCTGTAAAGATGTCAGTTTTACTGGACTTAATGAGTTTCCCTCACCAGACCCCTCATCATCGTCAGTCGCGGACTCCTGCATCTCCTCTGTGAAAGCCTGAGATTGGCGGGGGTTATTCTTGTTGTCTGAAACAGTCACTTGTGCTTGTGACCTCTCACCTGAGGTCTCTGTGTGCTGAACTGGCGTCGAGGTAGTTAGGCCCTTGTAAGAAATGTCACCTGTCTCATCTTCCTCATAGTCATTAAGGCAGTACACTTCATCCAGGTCCACATCCAGGGTCCTGAAGCCCTTAGTGACAACCCCGGGCCTCGGGTCCAGGATCCCACCCAGGTGAGGCTGAGCCAGCTGCTGCCAGTGGTGCAAAGTGGCAGAACCTTGAAAGGGAAACACAAAGACAACCAAAATAAATCAGTAATCAATCCAGGATCTAAAAGGTAGAAAATCCCACCTCATTTATCCAGAAGATCAAAGGTTTGGGAGCTAAAAAACTTTAAAATTTCTGGGTTTAGTATTTCTAGGCTTTAATATTTCTTGGAAGACAAGCCACAAGGCAAAACTGCTTCACCTACTCTTCATCATTTCCAGATCAATATGAAATAAACTGATCACATAAACACTTAAAGTCTGGTGGCAAGATGTGGCATACTTGTGCACACACACACCCCCTCCCAGTTTATATTCTTATCTCCCTAAATTCACGGGATTAAGGAGTAGAAGGAATTATCATTTAACAGTTGATCTGAGCACCATCACAGAAAGCTCTAAGAGGAACATATACCACATACTCCCGCATTAAGCTCACAGTAAGAAAGGTATTAGAAACATGTCAGAGTTTACTACCAGTGACTAAGAGGAGGACAGCAGTCACACAGATTGCACAGAAATTTCAGCTTTCTACCAAACTTTAGAAAGCTGCATCAACCCCAGGCACGTGTAAGCAGACAAGACCTCTGACCTATACACCAAGTCTAACATACTTGTATGGCGCCTACTCGAGCCCCTACGCAACAGGATGTCAGCTACTACACAGCTAAATGCTACCGTACCTGTAGCTTTGTCCTTGGAAGAAAAATGTTTTGAATGAGGAAAGAGGCACATTTTACAGAGCAAAGCATTCAATATCCAGTGTTCAGTAAGAACAATGAGTCAGAAACAGCAATGGAGCAGATTAAATTGATATACACAGATGGGCCCACTGAAATCAGGGAGGGTTTCTCTGATTCCTCAAGTAGTGATTAAATGTGGCTTGCAAGGGCTGAAGTTTTCCTATGTGTCCACCAATCATTATTGTACTGTAACATGTGACTTAAAACAATTCATTCCAAGTCCTCTGACACAAACAAAACATCTTTATTTTCATCTCAGCCAGCTCAAATCAGAGTTTTGTTGTCTTGTTCCTGCTCCCTCTTCCAAAAGCAGAATACTGACTCAGCCAACAAGCTGGCAGACGAGCGTCTCACAAGTATTCAAAGACCAGGAATGCTCAATGCATTGCAAGGTATCTGCAAAAATCCAAACCACTGTAATAACTAGGGAAGGGATAGCTTTTATACACAGTATTTTGCATTTGAGAAAAATCCCATGGAATGAAAAAAATTGTCATTTCAACAACAACAAGGATACTGCATTACGGGAAGCTTATTGTCAATAGGAAGTGAACAGGGGAAATATCCTACTGTGGAATGACTGGGATCAGTCAGTAGCATTTTAATTAAGTCTCTCTCACTTTTTAAAAATGTGTAACTTATAGCTCAGAATAATTGTATCTGGTAAATTATTTTAGATAACTGTAGTTTTGGTTTTAAGTAATTTTTGAGGGACTAAAAAGGATTTAGACCGATTTGTACTCTTGATGCTCGAGAAGTAGAAGCAGGATGTAATTCAGGAATAAACAGAAGTTACATGGATGTCTTCATTAATTATTTATTTTGAGGTATTTATTCTTGAATTGTCACAAAGGTCAAGGTTTGGGTTTTTTTGCTCCTATATAAAAGAAACATTCCAGAACATGGAGAAGGGCCAGATACTGGGAGGTCTTAAGCAAAGAGTAGAGCTTTGTGGTATGACAATACCCTCAAAAGTTACAGAAAAGCACTGGAAATCAAAATTTCTTTCTGCACAGCAGGCAAGAATAAAGTCCTGTTGCTAATTAACTTCTATATGCAAGCTTCTGAAGATGTAATATTTTTCACCTTAAAGCTCCCCCAAATTTATACTCAGAAAAACTCTGCAGAGTACAAGCATTAAACTGTTAACACTTCGTGTCTTTCCAATGGGATTATATTCTCCAGAATAACTGCGTTTTGAGATTTAACATTTCTATTGACACTACACACTATTAGTTTCTTTTCAAAACTGGAAATCAAAGTGGTCTAAGCTTCATCACAAAAAGGAGGATATCTGAGTTTTTCTCTACATCTGTTACTTTAATCTTGATCTCATAAAATGTGTGAAAGGGAGCTTTAGCTTTTCCATACAGAAAATTAACACTAACGCAGAAAGCAATGCAACAGTTGTCAACTACCTTATGATTAAAAAAAAAAAAAGGTGCCAAATTGAAGCAGGGAATACAACACCTTGGCCTATATTCAGTTGCAGGCTCCTATTAGACAGTTGTGTAAATTATGTTACCAGAAAAAGCTGGCATGAAGGAATTAGTGTGCAACACTGGAGTGAGAAGAAATTTAAAAGCAAAATAAAGTATATGAATACAGTTTGGTTTTCTATTCCTAATATCTGCATCATCATATGTATATTATGGGGGTCAGAGAAAGCTTGGAAATTCATGATGTGTTGCTGCCACAATTGCCACAAAGTGAGTGAAGACATAATCAGTCCAAGGTTTTTGTTTTTCTCCAGGATACAGGGAGTGCTATTTTGTGCTGAGGGTACGAGCTGCAGATGCACAGTTTAGAAACAAAAATTCCACCAGACTGTAAATAAAACAAGCCAAATCAAGCAATCATTCTAGTCTATTTGTTGGGGTTTTTTTTAAAGGTGCAAAAGAAGATGATTCATTTCTTAGTGTGATTTAAAAGTTTGCTTTAAAGAAGTAGAAGCCCCTAACCTGAAATGTATTATAGAATTGATTTTTTCTTACCCCATTTTATGGCATGAGCACCCTTAGGAAAACAGTAATCAAAACCAAAGGCACAACTACTGATAACAGTCTGCAGGTACAGGCTGTTTTGCCCCAGTGGTTTGAAAGTATCCATGAAGTTGGAAAAAAAAAAAAAAAGTTAAATCTCATGAAAAATACATGGGAAAGACACTAAGCTGAGTGAGGAACAGAATCATAAACACATATTTAATAAAAAGATAACAAACACTAAACTTATGAAACAGGCTGACACAAACATACTACAAATTGGATGTAAAACCAAACATGAGAAATACTTTAAAAGGTGCAATGATTTTAAGGAAAAAAAATGACCCAGTGAGAACAATGAACAAAACCAGGAAAAAAAAAACCCAGACAGAGAGAAAGATAATAAAGACTTTAAGAGTTTATTGGAAGAAAAAAGCAGATATAATGGGATGGTGACAGAAATCTATTACAGTGGTAGCAACCAGTAACTGAAACAAAGCTGGATCAGCTCTTCCCTCACGTGGTACATGAATTTTTACGACCATTTAAAAGCAGTCATGAAAACAAATTACTAAAATCTGCTAAACAGTGTGGATTTGTGTGTTATGGCTATAGTTCATCTGAATAGGTAGATAGAGCACATTACTTTCTTCAGGACACAAGAAGGGTTGTTTTTGCTTCTGAATGTGTGTCATGCTAAACGCTCCTTATAGAGGAAATAAATTTGTTCTACAAAGATGAAAAAGGGAACTTTTGCAATTAAAACAAATAGACAATGTAATGTAACACCAGAGTTCTGTTAAAGGAAAAGAGAGTGGGAGATACCAAAGCTAAATTATGTAACTAGCATATCTGTGCAGTACTGCAATAAACCAGCTTCATTTTGTTTAAAACCTGAAGGAATTTACTTGACTTCAACTTCTAGCAACAACCTGAAAGGACTGAAGAAATCCAGGCAGACTATACCATATGTGCTCTGTCAGCTTGGCTAGACAGACTACAGAAATGCACTTAACTCTGAAACAAAGCTCTAGCCCTGACTACCATCTGCCTGTATCTTGCCTTCTTATGAGACAATATATGGAGGAAATTTGACTTTAAAAACCCCCACCTTATTTCACACATGAAGCCAAAGCCATAGACACTCATGTGTGGCCACTCAGGTCATTTTTAATCCTATCAGACCAACTGGACTATTTGAAGTAAGTAAAGGTCTTTCCAGACACTGATTTGCATTACTGAGATTTGAAAAACTAATACTCTTCTTGCTTAGATTTCAGATACTCAACCACCTTCCTTTTCTAAGTATGAAATGGCAACGTAGGGATTCAGGTTAGATGTAAGGCTGCATTGCTGATGCATGGGTGTAACATTTATTTTACTGCCATGGCTGGAATTGTTTCCTAATAATTTTAAGGCTTGAGGAAAAATGCAGTAGTTAGAAGATTTCAAACCAACAGCGTGGATTACTGTCTCTAAAGTAAAAAGAGTATGTATTGCAAAGATTTCCTGCTTGCTTGTGATGGATAAGAGACCACAAAGAGTCACTAAGAAGAACAGATAAAGGCCGAGGCCCTTTGTTATCACCTTCTAGTGGTTTGACAATCTGAAGCTTTTCTGGCAGGTAGGAGCGACTGCTGATCGACATTCCTGAATATCCAGTGAATTCTGAAAATCTGGAGTGAGTTCCCAGCGACATGATGCTCTCTGTGGGGGTAACGGAACCACTATGGAGTTCACCCTTTTCTGCCAGTTCTCGCAACTTCCTTTCCTGCTCTTCTTCAAAGAACTTCCGCTCAGAGAGGTAATTCTCCCGCCTGAGGGACAGCCTACGAAGGGCAGTCTCTAGGTCGCTGGAGCCTGGAGTCCCTGGAGTTCCAGGCTTCTTCATCCTGTCTTCATTTCTAAAGTATAACAGGGGACACACACATAAAAAATAAAAAAGGGGGTGGGGGGGGAGGGGGAAAAAATTCTTAGAGAAGCTTAAAACTTCCACATGACAGTTTTGAGACATTCACCAATACCTTTAAATTACTGTGTCTGGGAACAACTTGCTACTTGTTCAAAGAAAAACACCATTATTTCCTTTCTCTTTCATATGAAAACCACTTTGAATCCTAGTTCCTGCCTGGAAACTCCAGGTTGGAAAAGCTGTGCATTACTTAAGAGCTTCCTCCTACAAGGAGATAAGAGATGCCTACTTGTTGTGGGTCTCTTACATGTACACAAACTCAAGTAAGCAGGACACACCTTACAGGGCCAACACTGCAAGAATATGATAATGAGTCACGACAATATATTATGGTGACAAATACTCATTGTTTTGAGATTAAGTTGTTTTTACTGAAAGTATACACAGCAGAGTGTGGAGCTGTACTGGGGGGAGAGACAAGTAGCTAGAAGAGTGAAGTTCTGATTGGTTTCATTCACAAGTTTTCATATTAGGTAACCTACACATACACACTTTATTTATTTTTAGGATCAAGAGTTAGCTGTAGCTGCACCTTAGATCAGAACTCTTTGGCATTAATGTAAAATGGTGAAAATATAATTAGTTTTAAGTGTTGACCCACAGCTGCAAAGACAAAGAGTGGTTTTACATTATCTGGTGCTGCTGCATCTCAGAACAGGTGACAGCTGCAGACACTGACACACAGTACTTTCACAAAGCTTTCCTTTTAAAATAAATAAGTGCTCAAGAACTATAAACACAAAATAAAGTAACTTTTAAAGATGTACATCACTGCATTAATTGCACAATGTAAGACAAAAAGAGGACAACAGAAACACTTTGCCTTTATGTCAGAAACAAAGCAAAGCCCAGTGCTGCAGTACTGACCCATTGTCAGAAGATTCTGTCTCTAGGATGATGCTATTGGTCTTGTTGTCTATCATAATGTTAGAGATGTCTCCCCCATAGAAACTGGAACGTGGAGTGCTGACGCAGCTAGACATGACCGAGTTCATAGCAGAGGACTGGTTAGAGCCTGGGATATTCATTGGTGACGGAGTCATGGATCTCTGCTTGACAACTTGGTTAACATTTCTCACTGTCTCGAAGACCCGCTTCTGATGACTGGTAAGACAAACACACAGTTAATAATCACACAGTGCCTTCTCACCTTAAGAAGGAACAGACAGATAGGTAACAGCTTGTTAACAACCCTTCCTATTCACAGCTCCACCAACCACCTTGTCTTTATAGTTTCTGTAAAGTAGTATGCATAGGGTCCCATACTTGCTACAGTCTGGCCCTTACATTCAATCCATCAACATAAAACTTCCATCATGCTAGAATATTTTAGACAGAACATTTGAGAATTATATGCATGGACCCTCTCAAATATTAACAAAAATTAAGTGAAAGAGCATTTCAGTACAACAGCTAAAAATGTCTCAAAGCCATGGTGTGAAAACAAGCTTTTAAAAACCAAAATTGATCTCCATTCAATTCTTAACTATGAACTGGCTTATCCATTTTAAAATAGAATTTTAATTTACTCTACTGATTACCTCTATGAAAGTATATGTATCTTTTCTTCTTGAAAGCAATTTCCAACCCCCTTAAATAGCATTAAAAAAAAAAAAAATCTGAAATATAATGGACCAAGAGTCTAGAGAGGCTGTCAAGGCTAGAAACCTAATTTATGACCTACTTCTACAGTTCATTCTTTGTCACCATTATCCTGATATAACAAACATTGTTCACCTGCTTCACGATTAAGATCAGATGATGCTTCAGCAGAAATTTCTTGACAAACAAACTTGCCCTACATCGTGCTACAGAATAAACGTGCCCTACATTGCTGCTTTGTTTTACAGTTCAACAATGGCCGAGCACAAGAACAGCACATCCTTTCCAGCTTAAAGATAACACTGCAAGGGTATAACGACAACAGCATGCCTTATGCTGCTTAAGGTCATTCAGTTTCCTTTCCCTCTGTCCACGAGTGCTCAGAAGTTGCAATCTTTGTGTGTAGGCTCCAAGTCTATACTTGGATATCTTTAAAAGGTTGAATCTAAGCGCATCTGTCAATAAACGGTCCCACAGAGGTTACTGTTAGTACCGCTGAGCAAATAAATAAAACCAAGACAAGCCATGAAACAATCAAACAAACAAAAAACAAACGACCAACAAAAAAAGATATCCTCCTTTGGTATATGCATAGCAATATAAAAGACATTCTAAAGAATTTAAACTATCCATAAATCGGATTACTCTGTAAGGACAAAAGGATACTGTGTGTTTTGAGCAAGCTCACATCTTTCTGATTCTACATTTTTTTAATCAACACCTCCCTCTGTTAAAGCCATATTTACAATTTGTGGCTCATGCTCAGAAAAGGTTTAAGTATGTGTCGAGATTTTTGTAAATATACTTAAAAGGTTTCTGGAAAGTGGCTACTGTACCTTCTTTGACTCCCCTTTCCTTGTAAACTCTGTTCCTTTAACAGACCATCTAAATAGGATTAACTTGTTTCAAAGTAACCAGTCCATGCTTTGTACAAATAGGTGTGATAAGCCTACTGGAGTACATGTGCAACTGGTGTCAGTAAGGTCACTTCTGCCAAGCCCTATCTATCTGCAGCTTTTGGACTCTCACTAGTACTTAAACTTGTTCCAAACCACTCTCTTGTTTAATTCAAGAGAACTTTAACACAGGTGAAATCAGTATCACACTAAGTCCCCAGCCACTCTGAAACCCTTTCTGCACTGATGTTCTCCCTGTAAAAACTGGATTAAATCAATAATTACCTTGTAACTTCTCTTATAACACCTGAAGAGAAAACCAGAGAAACTTAACTCATCCCCTCATCATTAACTGAAGAAACCTAGCAGAGCAACACACACCAGAAAACAAACCTTTTCTCATTCTCAGCACTCAAGAATGAGGACAAAAAGTTTGTAAGAACCAGAGAAATTTAACTCAACCCCTCATCATTAACTGAAGAAACCTACCATAGCAACACACAAGAAAACAAACCTTTTCTCATTCTTAGCACTCAAGAATGAGGACAAAAAGTTTGTAAGACAAGGGAAAAACCTATATATAGGGGTTTTTTGGTAGCTTTAGCAGAAAACATAACTGCCCCAATAACCAGACAATTTATTTTCCTTTCTATCACTCACACTCTGCCAGATATATTTATTTCTAAATCCTTGGCTCAACTATTTCCTATCTTTTCCTTTCTCATAAAATAATAATTAACTTCAGATATAATCAATCAATTAGGAACCAATTATTTTCAGTCATACGCCAAATCAGGAGAGTCAGGTTCATCTAAATGCAGTTCTTTCCTCATTGACCCTTCTATCTCTGCTGCCAAAGAATCCTGTTAAAAATAAGCACAAAAAGAAAAACAAATATCATAGTGTTAATAGGTTGTCATTGCAGAAAATAATTACTTACAGAAAATAAGTAATAACTAATAAGGTGTCAATCCAGAAAAAAAAAAGTTTTAAAAATGAAAATTGACTGTAAAGCTGGAAGACTAATGAATATACCCAAGTCACTGACAAATTATGGCTTAGCTTCATACTGCTACAGTACTTATAATCTGAAGACATATAACATCTGTCAAAGACCCTAAAAAAACATCACAGGCAACAACAGAATTTAGGTGCTTCAACTTACCAGACTAAACTCCCTACTCAGTAGCACCCACCTTTTATGTATAAAGTTTTGCTTAATTTGTTTTCATTTAAAAAAAAATGGAAAATACTGTTCTCTCACAACATCACCCACCGATCCACAAAAAAGACATGGTTCTTGGAATGAAGCACTATATACTTTCCCCACAGGGTTAAAGGTGATAGACTCTCAATGTTCCACTGCTGGTCAGTAAGTTTTACTGCCTAAATGTAGTCAAGTGCGGGGTTTGTGTCAAACATTCACAGATCTAAATGATCTGTGAATTCAGATTCAACATTTGAAAATCATTTTGATACAAAACACATAAACCTATCTCAGCCCAAGCATACCTTTCGCAGCTTTCAACTGCATTTGTGCAACTACCATTTGTATTATTGAATGTCTGCACTTTAAATTGGCCTGTGTTCAGTCTCAGAAGGGAACACAAAAAGGCAAGCTAAGCCTGTGTTGACAATTTACTACTTGTGAGCACAAATACAATCTGCTCTTCCTCAGCAGTTAAGACAAGACACGCCTAAAGACAAGGAGGGCCAGATTCTGCTGCTTGATTACATTAATGTAAGTCAAAGAAACTTTGCTGATATCATTGCCCTCAGAAGTAATGGAATTATTCTAGATACACAAGCAAGCAGAGCCAGGCACTGAACCTACCTAGACATTCTTATCCACTCTTTTCTTTTTTCTCTCATTTGGTTGAGGGTACTGCATATTCCTTGTGCTTTAAATGTACAATGTCATAATCAAATGGAACTAGGTAACTGAAGTTGGTAACATCAGTGACACTGCCATAACTGATGTTGCCATAAGGCATATTAGCAACAAATATTCCTTTAAGGAACCACTGAATTTTCAGTGACCCTAAACCAAGAACATGTGTAACCTATTCAAGTACTGATGAACTAGAATGTACACCATAAGTGACTAGAAGGATGCCATGTCCAGAAACCATCAGTTAAGTTACCCAAAAGTTATATCTCCAAGAATATTGAAGAAAAACAGGAAGCTCCTACTGAAAATCAGCTACCACAGTACACAGGAGGTACATAAAAGAAATGTGTAGAACTGCAACAACCTACTAATGCTACCCATGATTCACAGCCTAAGCACAGCCAGCTGCAGGTTGCATGAAATACTGCAGCAAAAACAAGTAACTGCACAGCACCACGGTTTCAGAACCAGATATGCAAAATTGATCACTCTGGTATCATTTAACACTATATACATACACATTTGTGATAGTTTAACTTAGCTGGCAGCCAAACAAGACACAGCCTCTAAGCCACTCACTGCCTCCCCC